CTGCGCGCCCGCACAGACATCTCACACAGAGAGCGCGCGACACGTACACGCATGTTTGCCGTGTGTGTGTGTGTGTGTGAGAGAGAGAGAGAGAGAGAGCGAGAGAGCGAGAGAGGATGGATGAAAGAATAGACGGCAGCAGACCGTCCGAGCATACGTTGCGCAATCATGCGTGTACGCGAGTCATGCGATCACTGTGTGAGATGGATGTCCGGACGCGTAGCCTAGCGGCTCCTTGTCCGGAACCGGTCGCGTAGCCACGGCCTATGTATATAGTCATTCGCTCCACCACAGGGCTATAGCACAAATTACTATGTTGAAAATGGGCAACGAAACTGCTCTCACTGCTCCCACGAGGAACGGCTCACAGAACGCAAAATGTTTGGGCTTTTTAACACTTATTTATCTACATGGACCTCTTAGTCTTATAGGCTATATTTATGAACACTTTTCACAACTTTACACCATTCATTTATTCCTCAAATTCTTACCACTGCTTGCAAACTCAAATGCTCGCGTATATGTGTGTATAATGTCATCCGAAATGTAGGCAAAAACACGGGGGCAACCCATTACTCATGGGGTTGAACTGGCACTTTTCTAAACATAAACATGTTGCCTGACAACCTTGTATCAGCGCCAGTGCTATACCCACACCCACATGGGCTGCCCGCGTTTTTCTCTGATCCGTTCCTCGTGGGAGCAGTGGGAGCAGTGTCGTTGCCCATTTTCAACAGTAATTTGTGCATAGCCCGTGGCGGAGTGAAGGGCTATTGTTCTAGAGCTAGGCATAGACTAGAGTAATATATACTAATAATGGTTGTAATAGTAATGTTTAACAGATAATCATTACTCACACAGACTTACTGAATGCTTATAGGCATACATTACAACAAAATAAAAGTTTGATTAAAACAGTCACTGCTTAAAGCGATTAAATTGCGAGAATTTCCCAGTGTTTTCCCCACTTTCATGATACCTACCGTTATTGCTTGAGTAACAGCAATTGTCTAGAGTAACGATAAAATGTCTTAGAACTTTCGTATTCACCAAATCCAATGAAATCATGCACGATTACAATTTTGCGTTCCGTTTCTGTTTACCATTGCCATCTCTCGGAGTTTCTCGCGGTAGCGCGAGACATCTATCACGATGCAGAAATGCATACCGTCGCACCGTAGAAATCAGGTCAGAGTGTAAACACAGACGTTCATAGTAGCGTAACAGCAGTGTAGTACTAATGCCACGTAAAGTCTGTTATTAGAGAAGCTTGTGGATTGCCAGTCAGATAGTAACACGGGAATGACAATGACAGAAAGTGCTCTGAATTATTGACTTAAAAACTCAATAATATTTACCGAACAGAATTGCACGCCCTTTTGTTTTAATTATGTGCACTTGTTTAAAGACGCCATTTGTGATTTTGAGAGTCGGGACACGATAAAATTTATTGCTGGTATGATGTGGTCAAATCAATTTTTCTATGCTATAACTGCATAAAATCTTGCTGTTTTGAATGTTGGTATAATCAGTGATATTTCCACTGTCAGGTGAGACTATATTCAGCTATATTTAGTTTTTCTGAGCCAAAAAACTCGCAATAGTCATTTTAAAGTCAGAAAAACTAGTCAAGAGAAAACATGTACATATCCATATACATATATGAGAAGTAGATACTAGGGAAGGAGTGTGACTTCAATAGACATGGGAAATTTGTCATTTACTAGCCTTAGAGTACCTACGATTTACTACGCGTAACTCAACCAACTTGAGCTCAAATCGTACACAGTACATTCGCCTAACATCGAGCGAAATCGTTTCCTCGTATACACCCGCAATCCAGAGATACAGACTAAAACGTACGACACGATTCTCCCTTCTGTTGCCAGCAAACCAAATCCATAACCTGCCTAACTTGAAACAATAGACATTTTGCTCGATGTTAGGCGAATGTACTGTGTACGATTTGAGCTCAGATTACATGCCAACAGATCTGAAAAATTTATTTTCGCATCAAAAATTATTCATATCATCATTATCAAGAGTATATAATGAGAGATATGCTATATAATGGGAGTTCTCTCATATATATTCTTTGCCTTGTATATCCCTCCCTCCCTCTTCTATCACACCCAAGGTGAGCTACAGTGTCATTGACACTTTCCTTTGCTGTACGTCAGCACACATTCGTCAATACACAGTCACACCATGCATTCTCATTCTCTTTACTGATTTGTAGGAGAGCCTATATAGGATCTTGATTCTACCTGTGACGAGGCCGTCTTCGAAGCAAAACACGTGATCGTAACTTCAGCACTAGACAGGGGACAAATCTCACGCGTGTGACCAGTATGTGGCAGCCTTCCCTGAAGCACGATGGAATACGTGACAATTCATTCTGGGAAAAAACCATATAAGTGCGATCTGTGTGATGCTGCCTTCACCTGTCTAAGTGATGTGAAGACACACATGAGAACTCACACGGGAGATAAACCGTATCAGTGCGATCTGTGTGATGCTACCTTCACACAATCGAGTAATGTGAAGACACACATGAGAACTCACACGGGAGAGAAACCATATAAGTGCGATCTGTGTGATGCTGCCTTCACCTGTCTAAGTGATGTGAAGACACACATGAGAACTCACACGGGAGAGAAACCATATAAGTGTGATTTGTGTGATGCTGCCTTCTCCGCTCTGAGTAATGTGAAGATACACATGAGAACTCACACGGGAGAGAAACCATATAAGTGCGATCTGTGTGATGCTGCCTTCTCCAGTCTGAGTAGTGTGAAGAGACACATGAGAACTCACACGGGAGAGAAACCATATAAGTGCGATCTGTGTGATGCTGCCTTCTCCAGTCTGAGTGGTGTGAAGAGACACATGAGAACTCACACGGGAGAGAAACCATATAAGTGCGATCTGTGTGATGCTGCCTTCTCCAGTCTGAGTGGTGTGAAGAGACACATGAGAACGCACGTGGGAGCGAAACCAAAGAAGAAAAAGACGAAGGGAAAAATTATTTAAATGTAACATGAAAACATTTAATTTTACCGATTTTTCATTTTCGACTTTATTCGATGGCTAACACTATGTGCCACCTCTGTATATGCTAATTTCTCCATATAACGGTACATGTTAATTTTTAGAGCGTTCTGATTGCCCGCGTACACGTGTGGTGAGCAGCAGCTGACGTCACTGATGACGTCAGAGACATGATACAACCAGAATTTTCACGATATTCACTAAGCCATGATCATTCAGCATCAACCCTCCTACAGCTGTCATCTGCCGGTGATAGTTGAAATTGCCGCGCGACCGAAAATAGCCCCGTTTTCCT